GTCCACCAAATTTTAGATTGAAATTAAATCGGGAAGTTAGTTAAATAAATTTTTAAAAAATGCATAATTTTTTCGACCTAAAAATGCAGCTTTTTTCAATAAATTATTTAACTAACTTATGATTTAATTTTAATCTGAAATTCAGTGGACATAACCTACACTTTAGGATGAACACGATCACCAAATTTTATAAAAAAACTTGACTCGAAAGCCCCTCAAATTTCATAAAAATGTCTCATTCCTGTCACAACGTCCTGTCCGGAACCCCCGTGCGGACAACACCATCAGAGGGTCTTCCTGGTGAATTTTTTCGAGAAATATTCGGTTCACCTATGGCGTCCTTAGATAATATCATCATACTAAAATCCGAGATTCAATTGAGTTTTATCAATGGCTCATTGATAGCTGACAACTTTTAGAACACGTTTACTTCACGGGTTACTAAACGGTGTTTATTAAAACTCGCATTAATAAGCGACGCATAATTAAGCAGTGTTGTAATAAGAACATGTTTACTTCAAAAGATTTAAAACACCCCTTTAACATTAAAATGTCCAAAATAACTCTGTACATATATAGACACATAAACATTCATGAACACAAGTACATAATATAATATGTGGATGTACCCTAACCCCTACCCCACCCTACCCTTCCGCCACAACCTTAACCCCTACCTCTTCCTTACCCCTACTCTAACCACGACCTTATCCTCTACCCCTATTCCCCTCGTAACCCCTACCTGTTAGGGGTGGGGTCGGGGTCGAGGTAGGGGCATGTGGTATGGGGTAAAGGGGTAGGGTAAGGGGGGTTGGTTAGGGGTGGTAAGGGCTAGGGGGTTAAGGTAGGTGGGGGGATGGGGTCGATGTAGGGGCAGGTAGATGGTGGGGTAAAAGAGTGGGGTCGGAGTAGGGAAGAGGTATGGGGTGGGGTGGAGGTGGGGTAAGTAAGGTAGGATGGGTAGGGGTCGGGTGGGATCGAGTTAGAGGAAGGTAGTAGGGGGTAAAGGGGTAGGGGGTAGGTAAGGGGCTGGGGCAGAATGGGTTGGGGGTAGGTTGGGGGATGGGGTCAGGGTGGAGTAGTGATGGACCCGGGCCGGGCCGGTTCCGGTTCAGGCCTGGGCTCGGCCGAGCTTTTTTTTGGGAAGGGAGAACCGACCCGGGTAGGCAGCGGTTCCGGGCCGGTTCCGGCATTTATTTATTGTTAGAAAATCATTATACTCATCAACAAAATCAACTCGGAAGCACCTCAAATTTCATAAAAATATCCTATTCCTGTCACGACGTCCTTACCGGAACCCCCATGCAGACAACACCACCAGAGGGTTTTCCCAGTGGAATTTTTTGATAAAATGTTTTTGAGCATGTTCCTCATCAAGTATAGTCTATTCATACAAAATTTCAGCTCAAAATTCAATCGGGAAGATAGTTAAAAAAAATCTTGAAACATACTGCGTTTTATATATGTACAAAATGTGCTGTAAGAGAAGAGCCGTCACTTCAAGTGGCGGCTTTTGTACTGTAAGTGAAGAGCCGTCACTTGCAGTGGCGGCTTTTGTACTGTAAGAGAAGAGCCGCCACTTGAAGTGGCGGCTTTTCTTAACCATGGTTAACCCAGCAGTATTTTAGGAATTATTTTTAACCCAACAGTATTTTGGGAATTATTTATTTAATTAACATTATTTCGAGAAAAAACTCCGACTCAAGCTCTAGTTTAGGTAAGATCGGCACTGGCAGTTGGTTACCCCGTTGGGAGCTGACGTGCATTTCCCCGATGAAGTCCCTGTCTTCGTCAAATCCCCGAACTTTCCTTCCCCAACGCTTACGCCGAAGATGAATCGGAGCATGATGACGAAGTTTAAGGTACATTGTTTGTGTTGTTGTAGTTGACACATTTAGATTATGTGTGTTAGTTATAGCTGTCATTTACCATTTCCACGAAGACGTTGTTTGCTATACATTGGTAATTTATGCATTTGGAATTTCTTCGAATGAGTTATTGATCAGTGTGTTTGACCTAAAGTGCATTACTTTTAGTTGAATTCACGATTGTTAGTTGTAATGTGTGTAGCATGTTTGAGACCATGGATCTAATAATTCACTATGGAGGGAATTTTGTTTCTGATCCTAAGAAGATATATGTTAGGGGAGCAGTGGATTGTATACCCGCAGATCTTGATGTGATAAGCTAAGCTACCCCCATTTGAGGAAATTCTTACAATGCGGAAGCTACGACAACATCATAGGTCTTTACTTTAAAAACCCAAGTGCCCATATGAAATTCTTACATGAGTTGTATGACGATCGGTCTGCACTACATCTTATTGACTTGTCCATAGGTTGTGAAAAACGTCTGTAGATCATGCACTGGATGAGGTTGGAAGATCATCATCATAAGAACAAGTTGAGCCCCACGATCATCATCAGATCACGAAGCAAATGGTGATGAACCAAAGGTGATGAGGCCATAGATGATGGAGAGGAAGATGTAATGGAAGAAAGAGAAGACAATGATGCCCCAGGTGGGGAAAGTAATTGTGAGGAACAAGTTAAGCTGCAAGGATACGAAGATGAAAAAAGAAGCACAAGAAGGATATGAAGATGAAAGAAATGCATATGATGGGTTAATTGATGTGCCGTGAGTTCACACCATACTTCCATACCCATGACAGAAAGTGATTTTGTATTTGTATTTGTTAAATTTTATCGAATACGAATTCGAATGCGAATATGAAACGAATATTAACTTTCAATTTGTACTAGTTTTTGTTTAATAATGCGAATAGATCGATCAAATAAGTTAAATATTAGTCAAATATCGATTTGAACATAAGTTAAATATTAGTCAAATATCACTTTAAAACAACTTTTTCTATATTTCTTATGTTATACATGCATGCTATGACTTAATATGCATTTTTAGAATTTAATTTGTAACATTTCATTTTTTTTGTAAATTTAATATAACGGATCAATGCATTTTTAGGTTGTGCACAATATACTTAAGTGATCAATTTTAATTTTTTACTATACATAATTATATCTCAATGTTTTTGAAATAAACACTAACTCAGACATATTAGATCAGAGATTATACCTATAATGTATGAAATACGTTGATAATTGTGTATATCAAAGTTAAACGACTCTAATTTTATGTTAGATATTTATATTAGCATTGTTGATAATTAAAAAAACACCATTAGATATAAGTTTATATTAGAAACATATGGTGGGTAGTTGATGCACATTAGCACATACACATACTAGATAGTTGATTTTGTTTATGTATAAACGAATATACATTTGATTATTTTTCAAATCAAATACATTATTATTTGTATTCGAATTTGAAAGATGTTTGAACCAAATATCAAATTTGTGTTCGTACTCATTTTCTATATTTTCAAATTTAAATCATAATTTTAAAATCCAAATTACGAATCGACTTAAAATTATTTGTTTGATTTACAACCCTTACTCTTTATGAAACTTCCGATTCATTACAAATTGACTTGAAATATGTATATGTAAATGTATATATATGACCTACATTTTCTGGGCATAGCTACACTTTTAAAGTTATTATAGTATTATTACTACTATTATTACCATTATTAGTATTATTTTTATTAATATTATCACTATTATTAATCGAATATATTTGCTTAACATTAGAATCAAATATAATGATGTTTGTATTTGTATTTGCTAACATTTTGAATGAAATTTAGTATTCTTATTTGTATCTATATTTGAATTTTTTGAATTCGAATCATCTTATGCGAATTCGAATCCCAAATCTAACATACTCCGTTTATTATTTGAGGAAAATTCTTAGTGTACACAACTTGTACACAAGTTATAAATGGTATAAAAGCAAAAAAAACTCATTTTTCCTCATCCTCTTCTCTCTCCCTTCTCTCTCTCCCTCTCTCCCTTGGAGTTCCTTCTCTCTTTCCTCTTTATCCAAACCCTTCAAAATTCTCAAAACAACATGTGATAATCATCTTCTCTTCCTCATCCTCTTCTTCCCTTCTTCATCCTCTTTTTCTCTATCTTTTATATTAAATTTTATCCATTATTTGCACAAAATCAGTTTATTCATCTTATCTCATCTATTTTTGTTATTATTTTTATTTGTTTTCAAATTACATGTAAAATGATCGCACATACAACTACACCATTCATTTGGATGTATATAGACAATTATTTTTTTTTGTTCACCCAGACAATTTAAATGATCACATAGACAATTAAAGTTGATCACACAGACAATTATTGTATGTGAGCCGCATGACTATTGTCTGTGTGGTAAATATTGTCTGTGCAAAGACAAGAAAATAACTTGAAATAGCAGATCAACAACCAATCAGGAACCAATGAATGAAGATGAGGTGCAAAAGTTGGATTATTCATGAATAATGAAAAGATGAGACTATTATTATTAGTTTCAATTTTTCCTTATTCTTTTAGGATGGAGGAAATGGTCAATTGAGTACACCAACTTGTATGAGGGTGGAGTAAAGAGTACATCATATTCCATTTTATCTTTTTAAGTTCACAAATTCGGGGTTATAGTGTTAATTGAGTACACTTGTTAGATTAACACATTAATATAATGAGTTGGCAAATTAAATGTTGAGTATGAAGGGGTAATGAACCAAGATTATGGCGTCGAACTTTACGAAGTTGATCAAAAAGGGAAAATCAACCTTCAGAGGTCGACCTGCGGGGGCATCGGCCAGTAGGGGTGCATCGACCAAGGAGAAGACGACCCGCGGGGGACTGATGTCGACCAAGGGGAAGTCAACCAAGTGGCTGGGGGCTGGTGTCGACCAGAAGTCGACCTATTAGCATTCTGTTAGCCAACTCAACCGCATTTACGTGTTATTCTAACGGGTGTACTCGATTAACACAAAAACACGAATTTGTGTACTTAAAAAGATACGATGCAATATAAAGTTGTCTACTTGATTGATTTTTATCATTTAGGATGCTACTCTTTACTACAAGCCCCTTCTCTGCAAAAAACGATTTCCCAATTCCCAAATCTCTGCCCTTGGCACAACAGCACAGGCGCACAAGCTCCTCACGATACTCGTGCGTCCGGGCCGCTCCTTCAAAGAAGACGGAAGGTACGGGGAACCCATGGTTGAGGTGTACGATCGGAATACTGTAGACTAAGACCGAGTTCCCCCTAGCTGAGGTACTCGGGTAGCACAGCAGCTTAGGGAAAACTTTTTGTTACTCTGTAAGCAGTCCATTTTCTATGCAATGTGTACTTCGATCTTAATCATCTGTTTCTCAATCTTTAGATTTCTCTTCAAGGAAAGGTATCTCATCTTATCAAGACTAGACATTTTTTCCCCTGTTCCTTTTTAACATACCTTAATCTTTTGCTGAAGCCTGGTTTGGTGACGTGTAATGAAGGTTTTCCTGTAAACCTTAGTCTTTTCAATACACCTTAATCTTTCTTTTGTATTTTGTTTTGCTTTTGAATTGTGATGATTTTGAATTTTTTATCTTTTAAGAATTCTCCAATGCCTTACTTTGCATTTGAGTTTGCAGAATTAGGCATTTGGAGTTTGGACCCTTTATTTGGGGATTCGGTTTCAATTTTTTTCCACATTGAAATTCAAATATGTTACATTTTTCTCCCCTATTTAAATTTCCAGAAAATTCATTAATAGGCTTCAGGCAGATATGTATTGTAATATTTATGCATTAAGTTTGGAAGGCTGCGTGCTGCAGAATTTGGAAGGCTGTCTATTTATCTAATGCCTATGATTAAGTTTAAAGCTAATCAAGTAAAGAATTTGCATTGGGTTTGATTAAGTTCACATAAGTTTAAACAGGTTAAGACCTAGAAACTATGATATTTGATTGTTTGGCAGATTTCCTGATCCAAAGTTGATTAAGTTTCAGACACTGATTTTATAGCAGTACACATGCTCATAATGAATCCAATTTTTTGTGAATGCTTGGAATATTTAGCTAGTAAGTTTCAAAACTGAATCAGGGGTATTGTGTGAACTGTTGAAAAATAGAGAAAAAATCCAAAAACTTTTCATACACCACAGTAGTATTGAAACATGTTAAAACGCTAAAAAAGAAACAGAGAAAGAACACATCTTTATTAGGTTGGAGTCCCATCCTATGAACATGCAACAAGCGAAGAGAGAGTAGCCAACTTAAGAAGCTATGGAATTAAAGTAGACATGCTCATAACAAATCCATTTTGTTCTGAATACTTGGAATATGTAGCTAGTAAGTTTCAAAACTTAATCAGGGGTATTTTGTGAACTACTGAAAAATAGAGAAAAAATCCAACAACTTTTCATACAGCCCAGTAGTATTGATACATGTTAAAATGCTAAAAAGAAACAAAGAAAGAACACATCTTTATTAGGTTGAACTTCAACTCATAGATTGTATAAGATTCTGAATGAAATTGAGAATTGACAGGAGATGATACGAGCAGTGATAATGATGAATAATAAAGGGAAACCTCGTATCGTCAGATTCTATGAGTACCAGGTCAGTAAGGCTAAACCCTAAGGGTATGTTTGTGAGTTGGGTTTTGGATGGGAGGGAAAGGTTGACAAGGGTTTATAACCCTCCCTTATATGTTTGGGAGTCTAAAAATATGGAAGGGATGGTTTTGGAGGGCTTTTGTAACCCTCCAAAACCCTTCAAATGCTCAATTTTCTAGTTCTCCCAACTTGGGGGATTTTGAAGGATAACTAATTAAATGACAACTTAAACTCAATTTGAAATAAATATAAAATCAACTATATGGATTCGTCATGTATGTGAAGTAATTTTGATTATAACTCATCCATAACCTATATCTTTTCAAATTTGTTACTGCCAAACAAGAAGGGTGTCCTCGCCTTTCCCTGCCAATGACTAACCTTCAAAACCATCCCTTCCCTTTCCTTTCAAACTCCCAAACATACCCTAATCAAAATGATTCTCTTGTTTAATCCTCAGTGTTTGAGTGTAGCTTGAATTTTTTTGAGGTTAGCCCATGGAGAAGCAGCAAGAGCTTATTCGGAAAATATATGGAGGTTCAAATTCATATTCTCTTTTTCTTTAGGGTCAGTTTGCATGTCAGAAATGCTATAAAAAATAGATAAAATTTTGGATGTGCAGAAACTTTGGGGAAGTTTAACAAAAGATTATTGAAACATAATAAATCATTTTTATAAATGTGTTCTAACTCTTTTTATCCAAAATGATAATCAAATTGGATTATCATTCGTATCAAAATAAGAAAACAATTGTGCTTCGCCCCCCCTCCCTTTCTAATCTAAGACAATATTTTTGGTTATACATTCTATTGATGATCCATTAATGGCATATTGCAGTTCTATGTAGTAGACCTGAGAACGTGAGCAACTTTGTCAAGGTTGATTCATTATTTGAGTCGGTAGGACTTCCTTTATTGACTACATTTTTTTTCCACTGCATTTCCTTTCCTTAGTATATTTCGAGAAGTGTAAAATTAGTGGTGTCCATGAAAAATAAGTACAAACTAAAGATAAGAAAAAGGAAATGAGTATTGCTTATAGTCTTAAACTACTTTTGGTTGTGACTACTTATAGAAATCACAAACAAGGCAAGATTCATATTATGTGCTATATATTTCTCATTTACAGGATGCTCGTCTTGTATACAAGACTTATGCCACACTGCATGTCATATTCATATTTGATAACTCAGAGAACGAGCTTGCAATGCTTGATCTGATGCAAGGTTAGAATGTTTTCATATGTTAAATAGTTGATTTAGATCATTTCAATCTGAAGAAATGTGATACTTATTATGAGCCCAGAGCCCCAGATTGGCTAATTAATACATAGTATTAGTCTAATGCACCGAGTTTTCGTATACTGCAGTTTTTTCTAATTGGATATTTTGTATCATTTGTAAATTCCAGTTTTTGTGGAGACACTCGACAAGTGTTTCGGCAATGTATGTGAACTCGACGTAGTATTCAATTTTAACAAGGTTAGTATATAACTAATGACACTAATATCAATATATAACTAATGACATTAATTGTTCCTTTATGTATATAATTACAAAATGAGCGGTGAGCACATGCTTCTTGAGTTCTTGATTAAGCCCTGTGTGTGGGTCTGCGGGATAGTGGTTTTGTAAATTGTAGGTTTGCTTGGAACATGGAAAGAAAAAGAGGAATATGAAGAGGAAATTTGTCAAGAAATAAAATGCGTGGAAAAATAAATATTGCTTCAAACCCATGAAATTAAATCAAATATGGTTTTCTTTTATATTTTTGAAGGAAAAAGTTTCCACACAAAAAAATGAATAAGTAAATAACATTCGTTACGGTATATATGGATCCTTGAAAGTGTTAGGGAAGGGGTGGGATGCAACTTTTTTATGTATGGTTTTACGGTTTTACCTTAGAGTGCACAGAGAAAATGAATCATGTTATGTTTTTGTATTTTTATATTCAGATTTATTTTTTCTAATATAACTTATAATAGGTAAAATAAATAAATGAGCATCAACGATTATCTATATTAAGCTTATTAAAATTTAGCCTTTCTTTTACACCCCCCACATTTTGTTCCTTCTCATTTTCCTCTTTGTCTTTGTGTTTTCTTTTCTTAGCATTTTTAAGTTCCAAATGGCCCTTTAGTGTTTATTGTCGTTTCCCTGCCATCTTTATCATTGACTACTCTCTTTTCAACTACTCTGGGAATAAATTTTCCAGGTTAATGCCATCTTAAATGAGATTATACTGGGGGGTCAAGTACTTGAGACAAGCTCTATGGAAGTGGTCAAGGCAGTTGAGGACATCTCGAAGTAAAGGCACCGTTATTCCCTCTAACTTACTTCCCTTAGATTTGACTTCATCTTTCAAAAGCAAGATCTAAACCATTGATTAAAATACTCCATAATAAAATTTGACCTCTTTCCCTCCCTCCAGGAGGATCCAATGGTTGAGATCCCCACCTACGTCTCTTTTTATTTTGTTGCCTACTACTAACAGAATAATCTGATGCACAGGATGGAAAAAGCTTCCAATTCAGTCATGTCTATGCCCCGATGGCAAGGTCGATGACTTACAACAATGTACGTTATGCATCACTTAGCAATATAAGTATCCGTTTGGAACTCAGAATATGCTAGGGAAAGAAAACATTGGATGGAGGAAAAACGACTTGGTTCAATCAAAATTAATTTACTTTTTTTTTCAATTTCATTGTATTTATTTACTTATACAATATAATAATAGAAGATCTAAACTGACTCAAGAAATTTATAAAATCAGTCGTGTTTTCTTGCCCTTTGCTATTTCTGAGTAAAAAGTTAAAAACCAAAGTTAAGAAAACAATTCTGCTTACAATTTTCCTCCTAGCATTTTACAGGATCCATACATAGCCTAAGGGTATACTTTCTCCTTTTTAATCTTTTAAACTTGGAGAAACTTATGTTGGTTATGCAGGCTGGTGAGAAGTGCAGACAAAACCAAGAAGGCTACAATAATGCTCACAGTTACGAAATCTCGATTATAATATTGCTCGTAGTTATTTCTTTGTCAAGTGAGATGAGTTTTTAATAGTGGTTATGGCACAGAAGGCCCGGTGTAAACAATGTGGTTTGCTTCACTCTTCAGCAGTTCAGCCAAATAAATGGAAGCAGCCTGTGCATTACATTGCCATCTGTATTGGGCCATTGGCTATTGCCTCCCCCAACTCTTGTAGGCTATGCTTGGATCCAGGAAAATGATGAAAATCCTGAAGAAAGTTATTTACTTATATTTGGTTTAACCTCGGAAATGTGAAGAAAAATTGATATGATCACTGTTTCGGTTTTTTCACTTGTTTGAATTTTTGTAGTATTTATATGATAAAAATAATAAAAATTGGAGAAACAAACACAAATATTTAATTTTGAATAATGTTTTACTTTTTTCTATATTCTTATACTATTTCACTCCTATTATCTCCCTCTAGGCTATTGCCGCTATTCTGAGTTCCAATTTCCAAAGCAGACCCATAATGTCTAGTCTTTGGCAAGTTTTAGATGACATTCTTATTTGAAGCTATCTTTGAGTAATAAACGTAACAAAAATGCTATTGCTACCCCATTTTGTACCCACCCCCTATGTTTGTGGCTCACAAATGCACCTCATTAAAATGGAGCAATTCATTTAATGTGTTGGGCTTTGTGAGCCACAAAAATAGGGTGAGGTACAAAATGGGGGTACTTATAGCAAAGTTGTGTATTATAAATGTTCAAGCTTCAAATCAGGTGTTCAGCTCTCAGAATCAGTTTGGAACATGAAAAGTACTAGAGAAAGATTGAGAAGAAATATTAGACAAGTTTGGAAGGAAGAAATGTTTCGCTGAGATAAAGCATTGGTTAAAACTCAATAACTTTAATTTTAATATTTTTCAAACTTACTTATAAATAATTTCAAACTTAAAAATGATTCCAAACTTACTTTTAGAACCCGTTTGGTAGCACGAAAATCGGCTGTTTTGGCTGATTCTGCTGAAATTTATGAAGTTCTGGTTGAAGTGGCTGCATTGACTGATTCTGATATAAGAAAAAAATATTTTTAAAATATATTTTATTAATAAAATAAAGAAAAAGTTATATGTAAAATAGCTAAAATGGTCATTTATAGTAACTTCAGCCAATACAGCCTGAAAAGTAACTACTCCCTCCGTCTCAATTTGATGATCCCGTATTTCCTTTCTGGGCCATCCCAAATTGATAGTCCCATTTCTCTTTTTGGAAAAAAATATGTGGTCCACATCATTTCACCTTTTTATACTCAAATCACAACCACAACTTTTACCTTTTCAACCATTTTCTTAATATTTGAGCCCAAAAGAAATGGGATCATCAAATTGGGACGGAGGTAGTACAATCTTACTTTTTCTGCTTATTACACAATTCAGCGGGCGAAAGCAAAATTTACGTGTTTGGTAAAAAAGTTGGCTGATAAGCCGAAAATGAGTGTTGACAAACGGCCTCATAAAGGTTGTGAATTTGAATAGTGATCAGTGTATTTTTCTGGTTTTGTTTATTTATAATTTTCAAATTCGGTTTTCTGGCCCAATATACTTCGTACTTTTCAATGTGATTTTTAAAATTTCAAAGCACTTATTTTGAAAAATTAAATGTTTGGGAGGCTGAGCTAGTTGGGATCAAAGAGGCTCTTAGTTGGGTTCTGCAGCAAGGTTGGAACTTCGTTGATATTGAGTCAGATGTGTCCCGAGCAATTACTGAAATTATTAAAGGAACTAGTGCTTCTATAGCAGGAATGGTGGCGGGTGATATAAGAGAATTGGTGTCTTTTCTTTTGAATGTGACTTTTTCTCATATTAGACGGTCAGCGAACAGGGCAGCTCATGTCTTGGCACAAGCTGCGTGTTCCATGTCTGATTGTCAATCTTGGTTATGTTATGCTCCTGATTTTGTTGTGTCTGTTGTAAACTCTGATATTATTAATAGTAATTGAAATCATTTCTTTTAAAAAAAGCACTTATTTAATTTTGGGGGTGTTTGGATCCGATTCTTAAAACTGCTTCTGCTCCCTGAGTGAGCAGAAGCAGAAGTTGGAGTGTTTGGGTGAAAGTGTAGTAGTGATTCTAGTGCTCTAATTTACCCTGAGAATCAATTTTTTTAGAAGCTGAGGGTGACCAGCTTCTAAAAACTGATTCTGATTCTACTTCTGTTTTAAAAAAGAAGCAGAAGCAGAATCAGTTCCAAACACCCCCTTTATCAAACACTACCAACTTTTACTTTTCAAAATCAATTTTTTCTCAAACACTATCAACTTTTACTTTTCAAAATCAATTTTTTTCTCAAACACTATCAACTTTTACTACTAATCATTTTTCCAAAATCACTTCAAAAGAGTGGTTTTTTAAGCAAGAGCAATTGCAAACACACCCTAACAGCACTGCCTAAAAGGCACAGTGGTGCTTTTTTACCCGCACGGGCAGCTCAGTTGGCAAAGTGGTGGAAAATTTGGACAATGACCAAGGTTCGAATCCCCGCAGCGACCGGGTGGAGGTCACAGAACCTGAAATAAGGCTGGACCTCTGGTGCGCACGGGCGTATGACCTACTGCCACTTTACTGACTGAGTCACCGTGACTTACATACTCCCATGTGCTCTGTCGGGTCGGGGCGTGGGGGGCGTTTGGGGTTGGCGATTCAACCTTTTTGACAATTAAAAGGCATAAACCAAACGTTCTTTAACAAACGTTACATAAAGCTCACAACACGGTCCCATGGTCTAGCGGTTAGGACATTGGACTCTGAATCCAGTAACCCGAGTTCAATTCTCGGTGGGACCTTTTTTCCTCTTTTTGCCAGTGGCTTTTTTTCTTTAAAAGAAGGCAGTTCCGTTTTCTTCATTCCAATTCCCAACTGAAAAAGGACGCGCTTTCTGTTTGTTCTTTTACCTTCCTTAAGCGCATGTCAAATCAAGAATCTGGATACAAGACACTTGTGATTTAGATAATTTATTACACTCATCATCAAATTAAAAATAAAGGACAATTAATTTAGATCCGATCCCACATTAGTTTCTCTGCATAAATATCGATTCTGAAATCCTAAAGTTATCCGCATCTTTGGATCGTTGATAAACATAAATATTAGTCCATAGATCTCTATCTTTTTTTTGTGGATAAAATATAAATATATATTATCACCCAAGTAAAAATAACATGTATAATGTGTCCAAAAATCTAAAGCCCCCACCTCCACTAAATTATACTATATACCCGGATGTACATGTACACCCGGTTTTTAAATGACGTGGCAGACCGATTCTCTTTTCTATGCTCTATTCCTGATTCTTCTTCTACCGTCATCCTCATTCCCTCACTCCCCGTTGCTTTTATTTATTTCAGCCGCCATTCTTTTTCATTTGTTTAGCCTCCATCCCGTCATCCTAGTTCGTTTTATATTTGTTTTGTCTTTTTTATTTTACTTTTTCGTTACCTTTTTTCTCTTCTTTCTTTTTTCTTTTCATTTCTTTTATTTTACTTTTTCGTTACTTTTACTTTAGTTAATTTACTTTAGTTAGGTTACTTTTTTGTCTTTTTTCTTTATTTTAAACTCAAATAATTATAGCGTCTAAAATGAATAAATATATACAAATGAACATTTCAATTTTTGAAAACTCATTTTGTAAGTTATGTATGTCCATTTAGTAGCATTGCTATGCTCATCTTAAAATGTTTATCCATGCATATTTCAAAAGTCTCATATTACATTAGATTCGCATAGAATTCGATTATAGACACGAGACCACAAACCACGATACTGAATTGCATGATTCTAGTACCCAATAACGGAGGTTCGATACTCACTGAAAATATCTTGATGTTCAACAAACAAAACATACCATTCTCATATTAATGATCATCTTGTAAGTTACGAATGCTCATTTGTATAGGTCTGAGGCTCATTAAAAATTCATTAATGTTCATTGATCTCAATAGAGGAGGTTTGATGCTCAATTAAAATGTCGTGATATTCCACTAAAAAATCTTATGATCTTCACATCAATGCGCATTTTGCAAGTTACTATGCTCATCCGGTACTCATCTTATACTCATTTTCTAAATGATATAATTTACATATGCTCATTTCTATAGGCCTGATGCTCATTAAAAATTCATTAATGCTCATTTAATAGAAATCATGATTTTCATCAATCTCAATAGACAAGGTTTGATATGTATGCTCATTTGATTCTATGCTCATTTTATAAATGTCATATCAATACATTCTTTAGAAGTACTACAGAGTATTTTATATTAGACTCCTAATGATCAACATAATAGGTTTGATGCTCAGTAAAAGTTCATCAATACTCATTCACAAGAAACCATGATTTTCATTTCAATCGCGGATGTTTGATGCTCAATTAAAATGTCGTGATGTTCAACTAACAAACCTTACGATAAAAAAAATGAATTAGAAGTTATGAAGCAGATATCACGATTCTGAATATTAGACTCCTAATACTCAACAGAATAGGTCTGATGCTCATTAAATGTTCATTATTATTTATTCTCCAGAAGTCGTGATTTTCTCGTGATTTTCATCTCAATAGTGGAGGTTGGATGCTCAATTAAAATGTCATGATGTTCAACTAACAAACCTTACATTTTCACATCAATATGCACTTTGTAAGTTATGTATGCTCATTTGGTACTCATGTTATGCTCATTTTTACAAGTTATGAAGCAGATATCATGATGTTCAACATTAGACTGATAATACTCAACAAAATAGGTTTGATGCTCATTAAAAGTTAATACATGCTCACTTAACAGAAACTGTGGTTTTCATCTCAAGAGAGAAGGTTTGATGCTCAATGAAAGTGCAGTGATACTCAAATAACAAATCTGGCAATTTTCATATCAATGCACATTTGGTAAGTTTAATTTTCTCATATGATATTTTTGAAATATGCATTGATATGACATTTTAAAAATGAGCATAACATCGTTACTAAATGAACATACAAAACTTACAAAGTGCAAATTGATATGAAAATCGCAAGAATTGTTAGTTGAATATCAAGACTTTTTAATTGAGCATCAAATCTTCGCTATTGAGATGATAATCACGGTTTCTGGTGAATGAGCATAAATGAACTTTTTATGAGCACCAGACCTATTATGTTGAGTATTAGAAGTCTAATATTCAGAATCGTGATCTCCACTTCATAACTTCTAATTCGCTTTCTTTTTGTTATTTTTCCTTTTATAAAAACTTATTAAATTATTTTTCTAATCAACTCCTATGAATTTCAATATGTGAACCTAATGTAAAATAGTACTTTAAAGGATGAGTTTTTAATGAATTTCCATTGATATGACATTTAGAAAATGAGCATAAAATCAGTATCAGATGAGCATACGTAACTTACAA